ATAGCCAGCTCTATAAGCTTTAATTTGATATAGGGGTTTAGGTATCTACCGCTTAAACCGGACGCGCTACATCGCTTGGACGCGAAACACCCCTGAAGGTATACGGTAACCTTAATCTGGAGACGTGTCAGATTACTGTAGTTTGTTCAGTCAAAAATTTTGTGGCTTACTATTTAACTATCTTACCATGACCGATGTAACATCCCATGTACATCATAAATTTCCAGTTTCTTTCTTGCTGTACATCGCAACCAAAAAAACTTGTCAAATTAACCAAATCATTACTGTAAACAGTTCCATGAATGCTCCCATCTCCGACACTTCACACAAAAAAATAACTCTTGCACTCCATGCGTGCCTATGTTCTCCAATTGAAGTGGTATCCAAGCTATCGAACTGTCTTTCTTTTTCTCAAAATGTTCAGGTTATTTATTGTATATTTATTTTCGTTTGTTGATTTATTTGTTTGTGTATTTTGCTTTAAGGAAAATTAAAGGCTGGACGTGTAAGCAAAGACGATCTAAGTCGTATTGCTCATGCTGTAAAACAAAGTCGTAAAAGACTGGGCAGAGCGCTTGGTGTATCAGATGATCAAATCGACACAGAAGTCGAAGAACACCGGTCGGATATTTACGAACAGTCCTACCAGATATTACTAAAATGGGTTCAGAAAAAAGGAAATCAAGCTACTTACGATGCGCTTGCACAAGCTCTGCTTGACCGGACTGTTATGATGAAGAGTGTTATGGAGAAATATTGTCTTGCTCAATAAAGAACAAATACAAATAACATAGTGGACATAGTGGCCGTCTCTTAATATTGCCTGAAGAGTGCAAAAGGAAACAGAGTTGGCAAATTGCTAAGTAAGAGAGAGTAATAATCAGTCAGGAAGAGGAAAAGATCCATACCTAAGTATAAGGAAACTCAGAAAGTGACTGTCGTTCTAGAGTTAGGCATAATGGAAGGACCCTGTGTACAATTTTACAATACTTGTCTTAAATAAACTACATCTCATTAAAGTACGAAAGTTAAGCTAGGTTAGCAAATATAATAATTGGTCGATCTATACACGAGTGTAATAGATTTTAAATTTCGAAGAATCTTGTTATTCTTGCTCTTCATTTCTCAAGGTAAACATTTAGAGTTTATCCGTTTTTTTTTATTATTATTATTGAAACTCAACCAGTGAGAATATTATATTCTGGAAAACTCATCAATTTTCTACATGAAAAACATTTCATGAAAATTAGATGTCTTTTCTACTACTAACTAGACATCAATAGCAATAACATTTGTAATTACCTAGGATAGTACAATAAATAACGCGAAAAATGTTGCAAATGGATTGCTTTCAAGAACTTACTGTGAAGTGTCAACAAGATTTATAGGTTTATTCTTCTTTATAATCCATCAAGTATTTTCGCTCGCGCGATTGGTCTAAACACGTCACGTGACCAAATATTCCCCAGCTAAAACTGAGGAATATCCAAGACTAATTAACAATTAGATTATGAGCTCGAGATTTCTATGAGGTGATAGTTTATGAGGCCGAAGGCCGAATCAACTATCGCCTCATAGAGATCGAGAGTGAATAATCTAATTGTTTTAGCAGTGCTGGAAATAATTTTTCTTCTTTAACAGGACATGTGTCCTTTCAAATCTTCATTTTGGTCGGACATCTTGTCAATTTGACTGGACATTGATTTGCATAATTAATTTGCATAATTAATTAGCATAAAATTTATCAGCATACTGTAAAGATTTTCAATACAAATCATTCAAAACTGCATTTAAATTTGATTTATTTATCATTTTTTATTCACTAGATGACTTTATCTACTTGATGACTGCACCGATCTCTCCTGGTTAATTCCTGATTATATGTTCTTCAAGCAAACCTAGTTTTCTATTGAATGCCACCATTAAAGCAGGAGCCCATCACTGGGAGTGTGCAACTACCCCAATTATTCTTGTCCTGGCATTTTCATAGACCGATCTATTTTTAGTTTGAATTTACCACAGATTCAGACCCCTACAGGAACCTCAGTGACCAATCACAAGCACGAACTTTATAATTTCACAGGAGGATTAGGTCGACATGTCCACCTGAGACCGCCATTTATTTCCTTACCGATGTGCGCTCATATAGACCGGAAATGACTTTTTTCCTGGGAAAAGAAGCCTT